CCCGACTGATGTAATAGACCGACCGTTGGATTGAGCCATCTTCTCTGAGGAGAGGTGCACTAACTGCGGTGCTCAACACTGCTAAATAGAGGAAAATGGGCTCGCCCGTGATTGCCTATGAAAGAAGGGGAGGATTGGCCATGCATTGCTTTAACTGTTGGAAGGCCTCTTCGGATTCAACTGTCCATTCAAAAGTCTGCCGAAGAACTTTGAAGAATGGTAGGCACTTATCTGTTGCGCGGGAAATGAAGCGGTTGAGGGCCGCCACTCGGCCGGTGAGTCTTTGAACTTCTTTGACCGTCCTAGGGGACTGCATCTCAACCAAGGCCTTGATCTTCTTAGGGTTAGCTTCAATGCCGCGCTGATTGACCATAAAACCCAAAAACTTCCCAGATCCTACGCCGAAGGCGCACTTCTCTGGGTTGAGCTTCATCTGGTACTTGCGCAAGGTGGCGAAGGTCTCTCGTAGGTCAGTGAGGTGATCGGAGGAATATTTGCTTTTGACTAGCATGTTGTCGATGTAGACTTCCATATTCCTGCCTATTTGGTGATGGAAAACGGTATTAACCAGCCGTTGGTAGGTGGCCCTAGCATTCTTTAATCCGAACGGCATTACACAATAGTGGTAGGTACCTCGGTCAGTAATGAATGATGTGTGTTCCCGATCAGATGTGTGCATCAGGATTTGGTTGTACCCCGAGAAGGCATCCATGAAGCTGAGCATTTGATGACCGGCCGTGGCGTCGACCAGTAGATCTATGCGGGGAAGAGGGCAGCTGTCTTTGGGGCAAGCTCGGTTTAGGTCAGAGTAATCGACACAGAGTCGCCATTTGCCATTGTGTTTGCAGACGAGGACCACGTTGGACAGACATCTAGGGTAGTCCACATTTTTGATGAATTGGGCCTCGAGGAGCTTGTCAACTTCTGCGGCTATAAGAGTGTTGCGCTCCGGATGGAAAATGCGTTGCTTCTGGCGGTGGGGTCGAAAGTGGGGTTCGATGCTGAGGCGATGGGTTATGAAGAAGGGGTCAATGCCTGGCATGTCTGTATGGGTCCAGGCGAATACATCTCTGTGCTCGGTCAGGAGAGCGGTAAGGTCGGCCTTGGCTTGGGAAGGTAGTTGGCTGTCGATTTTGGCAGTTTTGAGTGGGTTGGTGGGATCGATGTTAACTTCAACAAGTTCCTCCACAGGTTCTCCTCTGACCAGCTCGTCCTCGTCTCAGACGTCATGCCCTTCGATGATCATGGCCACTTTTAGCTTGACTTCTTTGAGTGAGGCGACATAACACTCCCTGGCCACGGTCTGTTCTCATTTGACAGTTCTGACGCCGAGATCGGTAGGAAATTTGATGGCAAGATGATATGTGGATGTGATGGCTTGGAAGGCGTTTAGGGCTATACGGCCAAGGATGATGTTGTAAGCAGAGGGGCAGTCGACCACAAGAAAGGTGAGCAACTTAGTGGTCTGCCGCGGGTGCTCGCCAATGGTGATAGGTAGATCGATGGAGCCGATGGAGGTCACACGGTCGCCGGTGAAACCGACCAGAGGGGTTTGGAGAGGAGACAAGCTTTCTTCCCCAATCTTGAGCTGGCGGAAGCAATTGAGGAAGATCTCTGACCAGCTCGTCCTCGTCTCGGACGTCAAGCCCTTCGATGATCATGGCCTCTTTTAGCTTGACTTCTTTGAGTGAGGCGACATAACACTCCCCGGCCACGGTCTGTTCTCCTTTGACAGTTCCGACGCCGAGATCGGTAGGAAATTTGATGGCAAGGTGATAGGTGGATGTGATGGCTTGGAAGGCGTTTAGGGCTGTGCGGCCAAGGATGATGTTGTAAGTTGAGGGGCAGTCGACCACAAGGAAGGTGAGCAACTTAGTGGTCTGCCTCAGGTGTTCGCCAATGGTTATAGGTAGATCGATGGAGCCGATAGAGGTCACACGGTCGTCGGTGAAACCGACCAGAGGGGTTTGGAGATGAGACAAGCTTTCTTCCCCAATCTTGAGCTGGCGGAAGCAATTGAGGAAGATGATGTCTGAAGAGCTGCCATTGTCTATGAGGACTCGTCTGACCTTGTAGTTGAAGAGGATGGCGGAAATGACAAGGGGGTCATCATGTGGGTAGCGGACTTCTGCACAGTCGGTGTTCGTGAAGGTGATGGGTTCAATCCACTGTTTTGACTATTTGGAAGGTCGGTCCACCGTCGCCATTGTTTTGGCAGAGCCCTGCCTTATTTTTCTGAGCTCTACCTTCTGAGCCGAGCGGGATGGTCCTCCGCAAGCAAGGCCGCCTGAAATGACTCTGATTTCTCCGACTGGTGGAGGGGGATTGTCTGAAGGTCGAGGCTGTGGTGGTGGGCGATCATGGTCTTGGTTAGGTGGGGCTTGGTTCTGGGGTGGTGTATGCCGGCGATTGTTCCTGGGAAGGTCGGTTCTTTGCCTCTGCTGAGGGCGGGTGTCTGTGAATCGGCTGAGGCGGCCCTGACGTGTGAAGGTCTCGATATGATCTTTGAGGTTAATACACTCGTCGGTGGTATGGCCATGGTCTTGGTGGAAACGGCAGTATTTGGACTGATCTTTCCGATTGGAAGGGTTTCGTGAAGGCAGGGGCCACTTGAGGGGGGTAGTCCCGCTGAATCTGATTGAGGACGTGTTCCATGGAGGAGTTGAGTGGTGTGTACCGCTCGAACCGACCGGGCGGCTCGGTGGGGTCGGTCATTATAGTGGGGTGTTTGGCTATTATATTGGGCGGTGCTGGGTTCCAAGTCTTTCCTCTTGTCTCTGGGGGTCGGATTTTTAGTGATTGGCTCCTGTCGAGTGGCCAGGGAATCTTCAGCATTCATGAAAGCCGTGAGGATGACCTTGTCGTCGTTCTCCGCTACTTGAAGGGCTTCGGTGTTGAAGCGGGTGACGAAGTTGCAGAGCGACTCCCCCTCGGTCTGACAAATGTTAAGGAGTTGGGTGGCTGGGCGTCTCTGACGCTGGGCTCCGATAAAATGGCTCAGGAAAGAGTCACTGAGGTGTTGAAAGGTGGAGACGGAGTCCGCCGGTAGCTGGCTAAACCTCAACTGAGCCGATCCCTTTAGTGTCACGGGGAAAGCTCGGCACATGATCTCGTCAGGGAAAGCATGGAGGATCATGAGGGTGCGGTAGGTTTCCAGATGGTCGACTGGGTCCGTTGTGCCATCGAAGGAGTCAATGGTGGGCATTTTGAACTTGGCGGGCAATGGTTTGTCCCGGATGGAGGCAACAAAGGGCGAGTTGGCGGTGACCAAGGGCTTGTGCTGGATGTTCTGCATGACCCTTTGTAGTTGGAGCTTCATAGCTCAGAGTTCAGCGTCCCAGAGGGGAATGTTGTCGCCATGGTCGGTCAACGGAGGCTGGACGCTGCTGGCTTCCCCCTCAAGGGCTAGTGCCACGACTGATGGGCGTGGCGGTGGAGGTGGTAGGCTCATATGTGGAGGAGGATGAGGTTGAAAACCTTCTGGGTTGAGCGGAGGGGGTTGTGGAGCAATGTGGACCGGGGTTCTTTCTTGGTTGGGTGGAATATCTGGAGGTGGGGTGGGGAGGTTTCTTTGGAGCAAAGCACTGATCAGGGCTTGGTTTTGCTCGGCCATGCGGTTAATGCTGTTAGTAAGTTCGATGATGTATTGTGGTGGGTTGTTTGGATGAGAAGGGTCTGTTTGATGATCGGTGGTATTATGGTGAGAAGCCATGGACCTAGTCGTGACCATACACCTGGACGGGTGAGAGGAAAAGGTAACGGTGAGAAAGGGGGGGCTCCGGCAATAGTGAACACAACTAGCGCACGAATAAACCACAATTTCCCATAGACGGCGGCAACTGATGATGCAGTTCGTCTTGGGTGGATAGGTCGGGCTGGTCCAAGCTCTTTAAGTTTCGATTCAGGCGGGTGATCCCACCAGATGACCTGCAAGCAAGTCCAAAGGGGAACGGGGTAGTCCCCTAGTGAACCCTCCGGCGAGCGAATCAGTAGAGGAAGGAGGAAATATTGAGAGAGAGAGAGAGAGAGAGAGAGATAGAAAAGCTTAACCTTCCTCTTGTCTTCGATTCTTGCTTATATCCTTTGGTAATCATTTCACTGTCCCTTGTGACGTGCCCCCTTCCGCCGAAAGCCTGTGCCGTAGCTTACCTTGTTCAGGGTGAGGGGGCTCTGTTCCGACGGGGAGGTGTTGTCGTAATAAATGCTGTGATGGGCTGCATTAATGGTGATGTGTTGTGGCAATAACTCTGCAGATCTTTGTCTGCTGATGTGGCCAGTGTTTCACCTGCCATGTGCCCGAATGTCATTGGCCCTCCATGCCCAGATGGCCTCCAGCTGTCCTGGGCTTTGCCAACCGGGTTATGTTATGGGTCTCAAGCGATGGGTTTGGGGTTGTTTGCTGTGGGCTGTAAGCCTTATGGGCCTATCCATGTCAGATTTTAAACCTAACGGTGATGCCTATCCATGCCCAATTTTCACAGCGTTACGATAGCAAGAACCCCAACGGTGATGCGTAGAACAAGACAACAGCAACTCCATCCCTAAGAGATACATATATATATATATATATATCTTGTGAGAATTCCCATGTTTTCTGATGGCATGAAAAACAAAATCCCTTGCTGTTCGAAGGGGTAAAATTTGTTTTATTCTTCATTGTCGGCGTGGCTAATCAGGGAGGAGCTTTGGGAAGTAGACCAAAACTCTGTACCAGCAGCAGGAAGGGCTTCGCAATTGGTAGGAAGAATGGTGGGATTTGTTTGTTTCTACTGTTGTGTGCGTGGCTCAGTTGAAGGCCACGTAGCCGGCACAAACCAGCTTTACAAACCAAAGCAGCAGCTGCGTTACACCATCCAAAGAAGCAGTTGTGTTACACCATCCTTACCCTCTTTTTATATAAGTAATAGATAAAGGGCAGACTTTGAGATTTAAAATGAAATTGGTCTTTTTATATTTCATTTATATTATTTATTAACTTTCCGTATATAGAGACTGTGGAAATGAAGGTTGAGGTAATTGCGAGAGAAACCATAGAGCCATCTTCTCCAACTCCCACTCACCTCCAAAGCTTTAAGCTCTCTTTATTGGATCAAGTTGGTTTTCATTTTCCTAACAAATTCGTACTTTTTTATGCTGCTGAGGCCGAGGTTGATCCTGCTTTATCAAACTACAAGTCTGTATTTGAATCAGAATCTGAATACAATAGTACTAGTGATGAAAGATCGCAACACTTGAAGAAATCGTTGTCACTAGTCCTAACTCGATTCTACCCACTTGCCGGAAGAATCAAAGATCATTTAACAGTTGACTGCAACGATGCGGGTGCTGAATACGTAGAAGCTCTAGCCAACTGTACCCTATCAGACCTTCTTCAACATCTCGATCCCAAAACGCTGGGCCATTTCTGTGCTACTAATAGGACACCTTTCTTAGTTGTCCAGGTCACGTTCCTCAAGTGTGGCGGAATGGCACTAGGGATATCCATCTCCCACAAGATCACTGACGCTGCCACATTTAGCTCATTCATCAAGGCTTGGGGTAATACCGCCCTCCTCGGATCCCCGGTGTTGGCCCCTGATTTCACAGCAAATAGCTCTCGCTTTGCGCCCATGACCACCGAGGAAGAAATCTTAATGAAGCCCATCAACTTCAATAAGCTGAGGTTCGACGGTATTCCAAAAAGGTATGTGTTTGTGTCCTCCAAGATTTCATCCCTCAAGGCCAAAGCAACCAGCGCTAGTGTCCCAAACCCAACTCGTGTCGAGACCGTCTCTGCCCTCATTTGGAAATGCTTTGAAATAATAGTTTGATAGAGAGAGAGAGAGAGACACTGAATTGTTGTTTGTTTGTAATTGTGTGTATATATTACAAAGAGAATGCACTCTCTTTATAGAGAGAATATGATGCATTGGATGCCCACCGAAAGCATAAAGAAATTACATCATAAAAGATAAAGTGCTAAAGTTATTAACAATCATATACACTAACACTATTAACAATTATATACTAACATCCCCCCGCAAACTCAAGGAGGGAAAGTATCAACCAAGTTGAGTTTGGAAACAAGATCATTGAAGCGGCCAGGAGGATGAGCCTTAGTGAAGATATCAGCGGGTTGATCGACTGAAGCAATAGGGAGAAGATGAACAGTACCATAGGTAACATGCTGGCGAATGAAATGACAATTAATCTCAATATGTTTGGTGCGATCATGAAAAACATCATTGTGAGCAATCTGAATGGCACTCTGATTGTCACAATAGAAAGGGGTAGGACCAGAAGAAGAAACACCCATATCAGCAAGGAGCCAGCGAAACCAGAGAAGTTCCTAAGTAGTATCAGCAAGAGCTCGGTATTCAGCTTCGGTGCTAGAGCGGGCAGTGAGGGATTGTTTTTTGCTACGCCAAGCAAGAAGAGAATCCCCTAAGAAGAAGCAGAAACCCGTGGTGGAGCGTCGATCCGTAGGATCCCCAGCCCAATCAGCATCTTAATTTTCCTAAATAATATGCATAAATTTTTTTTATTTATTTTGTTTTTCACAAGAATTTAGTAAATTTTGTAGATCGTTTGTAATTTGTAAAGAACAAAAATAGACACCAAAGAATTTTTATTTATAATTTTTAAATTTTTTATGAATATGAAAAAAATTGTAAATGCAAACGTTACTATATAAACCAATAAAATATATATATGTTTTTTTGGAAAATTACAAATACACTTCTAATTTTTTTTTTAAAATATGAATTGCCCTATATGATTTGAAAAATTATAAATACCTCTATGTCAGAATTTTTTATTTAGCAAATTTAACAGAAAAAATAAAATTCTTTCCAACTGAAAAATAAAATTTATAGTTGCTCTAAATAGGAACCAGTAGAATCATGAGAGACTTCAAGGCCTAAGAAGTAGTTAAGAGTACCAAGGTCCTTCATCTCAAACTGTCGGTGGAGAAACTGTTTGAGGTGGAGAATGCCAGCTTCATCATTACCAGTAATAATCATATCATCCACATACAGAAGAAGAAGAGTGGTACCATGAGAAGTAGTTCGTATAAAAAGAGCAGAGTCATAGGAGCTAGAGGTGAACCCGAAGTCATGAATGGTAGAACTGAACTTAGCAAACCAAGTACGAGGTGCTTGCTTGAGGCCATAGAGAGCACGCTGTAGTTTGCAAACCTGATGAGGTAGAAAAGTGGACCCAGGTGGAGGTTGCATGTAGACCTCCTCAAGAAGATGACCATTAAGGAAAGCATTTTTGACATCCATCTGAAAGAGCCCCCAGTGGCGAGCAGTCACTTACTGGTTAGATCTTCATGGATACCCACAAATCTTCGTCAGCAAAGGCTCTGTTGTGTTGTTCCGAGCCGGACCTTGGAATGGTCTCTGGTTCACCGGCACTGAGACGACACTAACCAAGATGTTTTGATTTTGTAAACCCATTTGCAGCCAATCGCAGTCTTGCCAGGAGGAAGATCAACAAGATCCCAAGTATGAGCTTTGTCCAAGGCCTGGAGTTCATCAGTCATAGCTTGTTGCCAAAGAGGATTAGTACAAGCCTCACGATAGGAGATAGCTTCATAAGTAGAGAAGGCAGCAGATCTAACAATATAATCACGAAGATGGATAGGAGGTTGAGTTAACCGGCGTGGTCGACCCGTAGGAGGATCGGTGGGAGGAAGAACCGGTGGAGAAGGAGGTGTGGCAATGAGAGGTAGACCTTCAGGGAGAGCAGGCTGGACGGGATCAGGAGTGGGCAAGGGCGTCTCGATGAAGGAGGAACCTGTATCAAAATCAGTAGAGAAAAGATCTATGGAAGGATTAGTAAACAGTACAGTAGTGGAAAGTGCGGGTAAGTGAAAGGAGGATAGCGAGGAAAACATTTGGTGCTCCGAGAAAACGACATAGCGGGAGATACGAAGACGTTTAGAGAGAGGATCCCAACAGCGAAAGCCTTTATGTTCAATTCCATACCCAAGAAAGCAACAAAGACGAGAACGAGGTTCAAGCTTGGTGTGTTCATGGGATTGAAGTAGAACAAAGCAGGCAGAGCCAAAAACCCGAAGATTGGCGTAAGGAGGGGGAGTGCCATGCAGACGTTCAAAGGGAGCTCGATTATGGATGACAGGGGTAGGAGCACAGTTGATAGTGTAAACATCAGTGAGGGCAGCTTCCCCCCAAAAGTTTTCAAGGCAGGAAGAAGATAGAAAGAGAGCACAAGTAGTGTCAAGAATATGCCTATGTTTCCGTTCAGCGCGGCCATTTTGCTGGGACGTGCCAACACAAGAACGATGAGGCAGTGTACCATGATGCTGAAGAAAGGAAAAGAAATCTGAATCCCGATATTCCATAGCATTGTCAGATCGAAAAATTTTGATGGCTTTGGAGAATTGGGTGTGGACCATTTTGGCAAATCTATAATAAATGTGTTTAAGTTCAGACCTATTTTTCATGAGAAAAAGCCAAGTAAACCGGGAAAAATCATCAATAAAAATAACAAAATAGCGGGATCCCCCCATAGTAGTAGTAGGGGAGGGGCCCCAAATATCCGAATGTATAAGATCAAAAGGTGTAAGGGAAACAGAAGTACTTTTATTAAATGATAAAGCAGGTTGTTTGGCAAGTTGACAGGGTATACAATCGAAATTATCTGGAATTACATGACCCAACTGTACCAAAGACTTTAAGCGATTAACAGAAATATGCCCTAAGCGACAATGCCAAAGATGAAAGGGAGATAATAAGGAAGTAAATGTAGGAGCAGCGATCTGAGGAGAGGCAGGAACATGAAGGTGAATGAGTTCATAGAGACGTCCATGCTTACGGCCGATCCCAATAGTCTGCCCCGTCTGATGGTCTTATACCAAACAATCAGTAGTAGAAAATGTGACAGTTAGACCAAGTTCACAAAATTGACCAATGGAAATAAGGTTTAAGGTGAGAGCAGGGATATGATAAACTTGAGGTATAGATAAAGAAGAGGTGGAAACAGTACCAACATGACGAACAGACATGAGGGAACCATCAGCAGTATGAATTGAGGAAATATGAGGAGATGAGGAGAAGGAAGAAAAGATAGTAGAACTGGAGGTCATATGATTACAACAGGCATAGTCAAAATACCAAGAAGAGTTACCTGTGATTACAGACAAAGCAGTAGGAGGAGGTGTACCAGAAGGGGAGAGAAGTTGTTTGAGTATGGCCTCTACATCCGTCGGAGAAAAGCGAGGGGTAGACAGAACAGGTGACTCAGAGAACCCTGCAGAGGCAGCAGCATCAGTGTGATGAGACTGATTCCTAGAAGCAGCAACAGCAGTGTGATGAGACTAATTCCCGAAAGCAGCAGTAGCAGTGTGATGAGACTGATTCCCGGAACGATGAAAGCTTCCTCAGGAAAAGCCACCTCGAGAGGAATGGCTATTGGAGGATGATTGGGATGGATTGCGAAAACAATCCTGTTGCAGATGACCAGGACCAAGTTTGTTGCAGTAGCGGCAGGATCTGACGAGGCAATTGACCAGGAGATGGGTGGAAGAAAGGCCCCGATTCTGACAATAGAGGCAAGCAGTGGTCCGCTGGGTAAATGATGGCCGGTACGGAGGAGTGGCAAGAACAGAGTCCACATGATGAGTTTGAAGAGTACCGAGACGAGTCTCCTCTGATAGCAACTCAGAAATGGCTTGTTCAAGAGTGGGCAAGGGATGGCGATGAAGCAGAGAGGCACGTACGGGCTCAAAAGAGGGGGTAAGAGCCATGAGAAATTGCACCAACCTTTGCTGGTTGCGATGGTTAGTAAATAAAACTGCATCTTCGGGGTCATGCCAGGTTGGTTCTGAAAGAGCAAGCTGATCCCAAACAGAGTACATTTGAGAAAGGAAGTCATTAATGGACTGAGTGGATTCTTGGCGCATGCGGTGAAGTTGGTTCTGAAGTTGATATTGGTGGGCAAGACCAGTAGTCTGGTATCGTTCTTTCAAGAAATCCCAGATGTCTTTTGCAGGAGTAGTTACAGAGTCAAGCTGAAAGCGACCAAACTGAAGACTGATAGATGTAACAGAGGTATTACGAAACCAGGTAATGATTTGGTAATTCTTACTGTCCCATTCCTCAAGTCGGTCTTCAAATGTAGCAGTAGGAACAGTAGTTTCATTAGTGTCACTGTCTTTCACCGGTTTAGTCACATCCCCGGTGACAATTCGCCAGAGCTTCTTTCCTTTGAGGAAGGAGGACATGGCTTGGGCCCACAGAACATAGTTTGAACCATTCAAAATAACGGAAATGGGATGGGAGGCATCATGACGATCCATAATACTAGTTGAGTCAGACTAAATTAATAGGAATTGACCTGTAGGAGCAAAATTAGGTAAAACAGAGTGTACCAATGAGTCCGGAAAGTCGAAAATAGCTAGGAAAGGTGTGCTGTATAGAGATGATGTCAGCAGAATGCAAGATGATGTCAGTGGCGCACGTTAGCAAAACTGGCGCACGCGCGGCTCACAATAGTAGGATGGCGCAGGCGGGTGCACGATAGTGGAACGGTGCAGGCGCGGCTCACGGTAGAGGGATGGCGCACGCGGGTGCACGGTAGCAGGCGCGGCCCACGAAAGAGCAGACCTGAAGGCGCGTGAAGGCGCGTATGAGAGTGGCGACGGAAGAAGTGACGCGCCGATCACAAAGGAGGCGCGTGAGAGCGCGTGAAGGGGTTTCTGATGACGTGCGTGGTGCCGTTGGAATCGTAAGAAGATTCCGAGCTGTTTGGTGTAGTTCCACTGTATACGGGACTAAACACCAAAATTGAAAAATGCCAGAATTGTATACCTGGGCTTTGATACCATGAAATAATAGTTTGATAGAGAGAGAGAGAGAGAGACACTGAATTGTTGCTTGTCTGTAATTGTGTGCATATATTACAAAGAGAATGCACTCTCTTTATAGAGATAATATAATGCATTGGATGCCCACCGAAAGCATAAAGAAATTACATCATAAAAGATAAAGTACTAAAGTTATTAACAATCATATACACTAACACTATTAACAATTATACACTAACATGCTTGATGGCCACCGCCTGTTTAAAATCAAGCCCTCCTCCATCCCCATCAGCGTTCGCACTAAGTTGGGCTATCAACATTCGTGCTAGGATCAACCCACCATTACCAGAACATTCTTTTCGAAACATGTTAGTGGTACTAAGGATAGGTCATATGGAACAACCCAACAAACAATGCATTAAAGAAGAAGAAAAAGAAATAGACTTGTCCAAGTTAGTTTGCCAGCTGAGGAAAGGCATTGAAGGATTCCGCGATAATTATGGAAAAGAACTTCAGGGGGAGAACCGCAGGGAGGCATATTTAAAAGAGTCCGGAGAGATTATGGAACTGCAATTTAGTGAAGAGGTTGAGACGTATGTGCATAACAGTTGGTGTAGGTTCCCATTTTATGAATCAGATTTCGGGTGGGGAAAGCCTACATGGGTGAGTATTGCTCCGATGTCGCCTGGGACAAGTGGTAATCCACCTAGTGTAACTACATTTTTGGATACCAAAGATGGTCGAGGAATTGAAGCCTGGGTCACTTTGGCTCCAGAAGACATGCCCTTGTTCGAGACTAACCCAGATTTGTTGGCTTTCGCTTCTCTGAATCCAACTCCTCTCTACACTGAATAACTCACTATTCGATCATATAATGAAGATGATCACAATCCGACTACAAGTGTATCGGGTGGGATCTATCAGATTTGAATAAGTTGAGAATCTCAAAACCACAGACTACAAGTGTATCGGGTGGGATCTATCAGATTTGAATAAGTTGAGAATCTCAAAACCACACATAATAATAAATATATATATGTATATATTGTAAGTTTTCTGAATTTTTAGTGTTGCTATTCTATTCCCTGGAGGCTACTGATTTTTTCTGTTTTGGTTTTATGTCATTCTCTAATCTCTACTTGTACCTCAATTTTCAAGTTAATAATAATTGAAATATTACCTGTGTGTGTCTCGGCTGTGTTGGATTTGAGAATTTGATGAGATAAATAGAAAGGAAAGTAGAAAAAGAAAAGAAAATGTAATTTCATTTTTTGTTTAATTATAATGGAAAACACAAAGAAAAAGAAAGTGAAAGGAAAATGCAATTTCACATTTTGTGTTTCAGATTCACTTCGGCTTCTGAAAGTCAGCAAAAAATAAGATTTTTTCCTCTTTAGGCAAAATTTTTAGATTCAAACCTACATGTTCAAATATTTGTATCTCCCTCGTCGTAACTTTGTTTCGCCTCATTTTTATGTCGTTGGATTCACTTTATGACCTAGTTTTTATTCCATCTCTCATATGCTTTGTTTCACCTCTTTTTACATGTCGTCGGAGCTTCAAAAGTTGGCCAAAAATAAGATTTTTTTTTTCTTTTATTGCTGCTATTGCAACATTTTTCTTGTCAGTGGAGATGCAATGCATGATTCTTGATTGGTATTGAAAACCAAGGCGCCCTAACATGCTCACCAACCCATTTGATTTTTGATTTTTGATTTTTATGTGTAGTGGTATACTTATCACTACTCAACGACATCGCCACCATTACCACCATCACCTTATCTTGCAGATAATGATGATGAAGAAGCAGCAGCAGCAGTAGTAGCAAGCTAGGAGGAGTCGCGGAGGAGGAGGAAGAAGAGAGGAAAAAAAAAGAAAAAAAAAGAGAGAAAAAACTTATTTTTGGCCACCTTCGGAATTCTGACGGTATGCAAAAAGAGGTAAAATAAGGCATATAAGGGGTGAAATGAAAATTAGGCTATGAGGTGAATCAAACGACGCAAAAATGAGGCGAAATGAAGTTACGACAAGAAAAATATAAGTGTTTGAACATGTGGGTTTAAATCTGAAATTCTGTCCAGATTTTCGTTAATTTAATATGACGGAGATGGACGAAGGGACCAAATTGAAGTACAGATGAAACTCTAGGGTTTAATTTATCAAAATTGAAATTTCAAGATTTAAATTGAGAAAAATGCAAGACCCTGAGTTTTTTTTCTTTTTTAATTAACCCAAATTTTAAATAGATAAAAAAATTAATGGATAAAAAATTTGAACAAATGAAAATAATTTTAACAAATAGTCAACGAAAAGTTAAACTAATAAAAAAAAGTCAAGAGGTAAAATTGAAAATAAAATGTTCTCTAGGATTTCTTACCAAATTATTTTACATGAACCTCTCATCAATGGAAAATATTCCTTAAATCTAATGTCTTATATCCTTTTTATATTAGATTAATGGTAATCCATTGAGTCCCAAAAATTTTCTTATAAACCAATTAGTCCCATTGATTTTGGAAAAATAGATTCAATATATTATTTGAAAATTAAATTTACAGATATATCCTTATTTTTATTACGTTTCCTTCTTCATTTTTTTTCCTCAGTTGTGCTAGAAAGGTAAGATACATGACGTATGTGAATTAAATTTTAGATGAATTTTTATATAGGAATCCTTTTTATATTTGGAATGACTTAAAATGTGAGATTCTTCATACATTTCAAAAGGAGTACAAAAATAACTTGAAATATGAAATTCTTCAAACATTTCAAAAGGATATGAGATTTTTCAAACATTTCAAAAGGAGTAAAAAAAAACTCCTTAGTAAGATTTGGGCAAACGTATAATTTCAAACTGTAATACTCTAATCTAACACTCCAAAAAAACTCCTTAGTATACTTTTCTCAAACGTAATACTCTAATATTTCACTCGAAAAAAACTCCTTGTTGTAATACTCCAAAAAAACTAATTAGTGTACTTCTCCCAAACGTAATATTCCAATATGACATTCCAAAAAAACTTTTTAGCATAACACTCCAATGAAATATCCAAAAAAAACTTCTTAGTATACTTTTCCCATGTAACATTTTAATATAACATTCCAAAAAAATTCCTTAGTGTAACACTCCAAAAAAACTACTTAGTATATTTTTTCCAAACGTAATATTCTAATATAACATTTCAAAAAAACTATTTAGTGTAACACTTCAATGCAACACACATAAAAACTCCTTAGTACACTTTTCTCAAACATAACACTCTAATGTAACACTTCAAAAAAAAGATATGAGATTTTTTAAATCATTCCAAAAAGATGTAAGATTCTACAAACCATTCAAAAAGGAATACAAAAATGTCTTAGTAAGTTTTGGATAAATGTATAATTACAAACTGTGATTGTTATGTTTGGAATAATATACTAGATAGTAGTTTTTTAGTATTTTTGTGTATGTGTTACATTAGAGTATGTTACATTAGAGTATTATGTTTGAGATTACATTGATAAGAGTGTTACGTTTAAAAAAATATACTAAGAAATTTTTTTGTGTGTTACGTTTGAAAAAAATACACTAAGAAGTTTTTTTTTGGAGTGTTACGTTACATTTGAAAAATGTACACTCAGAAGTTTTTTACTGTGTTACATTAGAGTGTTACGTTCTTACTCATAATGTGATATTTATTCCAGAAGAATGGAAGATCCAAAACCTCTATAATACGGATTACCTAAATGTATAATTTCACATTTAGAGAAACCAACTTTTATCTCTAAAAAATTAAACCAAAATGAGTAAGTAATTACCTTTTTGTGTAATTTCTATTTTAATGGGACTTTTGCGTTATTAAAAAAAGAAAAGAAAAAAATTAAATAATTCATAAAATCATATTTTAAAATTTATTGATATTTCACCATACATTTAACACTAATTAACCCTATATTAAATAGTAAATCTAAAAAATAAAAGAAATTATTTAAAATATTAATTGTCTGATCACGCCGACCTCGTGTACCACGCTGCGCACGTTCGTCGTGCCAACTCGGTTGTACCTCTTTGTTTATTTTTACCGGGGGATTGGTTTAACAAAAATATTTGGGAACCCTAAATTGGGAGCATTAAATGAGCTTTAGAGAGTGGGTCTCACTGATTGATGTGATGTTTTGGCTTCAATTTGTTTTTTTTTTAATTTTCATCTCATTAGTGGTCTATTAGTGCTCCCAAATTAGTGAGATGTATCATTGTTGTTGGTTTAATTTGGGAGAAAATTAGAATCAATTTATTGGCTGTAATTCTGTAAAAATTAAAATGAATTAATTAATTTGAATCGAATTAAATCATTTAAATACAGTTTGATCCGGTTTAAAATTACGATCTCAAAAAAAATTATATATAATTCACTAAACAAACTAATATTAAACAACATTGTTCAATATTAATTTATTCATAATTTTTTGAAATATAATGATATTACTTTATTATTAATTTAAACAAACATAATATCTAATAAATAAATATGAGTAATGCTAGAGATTCAAACATTTATACTCATAAATTTACCCATAATGATGTGACATAAAAGTTGGATTCACCATCATTATGTGTGTAACAAATCAAAAGTTGACATATATTCTACCACATAATTGCAGATAATTTTGTAGAGTCTCAAACATTTTTTAATAAACATATTTTTCAACATGTAATAAGCACAAAACTCCCATCAAATAAACATTGTCGTGGCAACGACAATTACAAAATTAAACTGCTAAATAATTAAAAAAACCAATTCTAGCGCCATAGAAAATAGAAGAGAAAAGTAAAACAATATAAATTTGGGTTTGGTTTTATAGATAAGAGGGTAGGATTATATACATCAAGATGTATGGTAAGTATGTGACTTAAGTTATGTGGTCACCGTAGACTTAAATTCAGAACCGACCTACGGAGACTGATTCTCTAATATTTCAATCTAGAATCGAACTACGAATTAGAAAAATCAAACCAAACCTATCGCATTAGACTGAATTGATTCGATTTGTTCAAATTCTTTACTCAATCCTACCATGGGCAAATCCTTATGTAGTAATATTTATTTATGAAAAATAATATATAAATTCACTTTTTAGATTCACTTTTTAAATTTAATAATGTATAAATAAAATGTTTGATTGACAATTAAAGAAAATATGAAAGAAAAATAATACATAAAAATAATTAGTTGATTGATTGAAAGGTAAATTTAAATTTTAAATTTGAATATCACTACTTGGTTAATTATAATAAGGGAACAAAAGAGAAGCAAGTTTCCCCAATCCAACCCAGGCCATGATACAACCTTAAATGAGGCCTAAATGATATATATAAAGGGCAGACTTTGAGACCTAAAGCCTCCGTTCGGGAGGTGGGTTGTTTTTTGATTTTTTTTGATTATTTTAGTCTGAGTTAAAAGGTTTGGTTTGAAAAGGATTTTTGATTTTTTAATTTTTTAAATTTTTTTTTATGAGAGAAGAGTGTAATAATTATGAATTAGATGTATATGTTATTTATTATAACTAAAATAACCTATTTTATTTTTTTAAGACTAAAATAACTAGAAACCAACTTGCCAAACGGATCCAAAATGAAATTGGTCTTTTTATATTTCAATGATATTATTTATTAACTTTCCGAATGTAGAGACTGTCACCACATCATCACCGGTCACCGTCACCATGACAACAGAAATGAAGGTTGAGGTAATTGCGAGAGAAACCATAATGCCATCTTCTCCAACTCCCACTCACCTCCAAAGCTTTAAGCTCTCTTTGTATTTTCCTAACAAATTCATACTTTTTTATGCTGCTGAGGCCAAGGTTGATCCTGCTTTATCAAAGTACAAGTCTGAATCTGAATCAGAATCTGAATACGATAGTACTAGTGATGAAAGATCGCAACGCTTGAAGAAATCTTTGTCACTAGTCCTAACTCGATTCTACCCACTTGCCGGAAGAATCAAAGATCATTTAACAGTCGACTGCAACGATGCGGGTGCCGAATACGTAGAAGCTCGAGCCAACTGTACCTTATCAGATCTTCTTCAACAATCCGATCCCAAAACGCTGAGCCATTTCTGTGCTGTCCCACAGCTTCCATCATCTACTACTAATAGTACACCTTTCTTAGTTGTCCACGCCACGTTCCTCAAGTGTGGTGGAATGGCACTAGGGATATCCATCTTCCACAAGATCACTGACGCTGCCACATTCAGCTCATTCATCAAGGCTTGGGCTGATACCGCCCTCCTCGGACCCCCGGTGTTGGTCCCTGATTTCACAGCAGTAAGCTTTCACTTTCCACCCATGACCACTGAGGAAGAAATCTCAACGAAGCCCATCAACTTCAACAAGCTGAGATTCGATGGTATTCCAAGAAGGTATGTGTTTGTGTCCTCCAAGATTTCATCCCTCAAGACCAAAGCAACCAGCGCTAGTGTCTCAAACCCAACTCGTGTCGAGGCCGTCTCTTCTCTCATTTGGAAATGCATGATGGCCACCTCCTGTTTAAAATCAAGCCCTCCTCCATCCCCATCAGCGTTTGCACTAAATTGGGCTATCAACATTCGTGCTAGGATCGACCCACCATTACCAGAACATTCTTTTGGAAACATGTCAGTGGTACTGAGGATAGGTCATAAGGAACAACCCAACACAATGCATTAAAGAAGAAGAAAAAGAAATAGACTTGTCCGATTTAGTTTGCTAGCTGAGGAAAGGCATTGAAGGATTCCGCGATAATTATGGGAAAGAACTTCAGGGGGAGAACCGGAGGGAGGCATATTTAAAAGAGGTCAGAGAGATTATGGAACTGCAATTTAGTGAAGAGGTTGAGATTGTTGGGATCTGGGATCCCGCCCAAGACCTTATAGAAATTATACCATGCAGAAAAACACACCCACACTCAAGGAGACACAATATTTAACGTGGTTCGGCCTCAATGCCTACGTCCACGGGAGAGTAGCCGTGTCCTCCAAGATTTCATCCCTCAAGACCAAAGCAACCAGCGCTAGTGTCCCAAACCCAACTCGTGTTGAGGCCGTCTCTGCTCTCATTTGGAAATGCATGATGGCCACCTCTTGTTTAAAATCAAGCCCTCCTCCATCCCCATCAGCGTTTGCACTAAATTGGGCTATCAACATTCGTGCTAGGATCGACCCACCATTACCAGAACATTCTTTTGGAAACATGTCAGTGGTACTGAGGATAGGTCATAAGGAACAACCCAACACAATGCATTAAAGAAGAAGAAAAAGAAATAGACTTGTCCGATTTAGTTTGCTAGCTGAGGAAAGGCATTGAAGGATTCCGCGATAATTATGGGAAAAAAGATCACCTTTGTGCATTTGTAGGTTGGCAAGCTTGTGCACTCACATGTGAAGGGAATCACCCCTCACATGGGATGATATCCCACAGAGATGTATGGGCATACCAGTTGATGTAGGTTCCCTTTTTATGAATCAGATTTTGGGTGGGGAAAGCCTACATGGGTGAGTATTGCTCCGATGTCGCTTGGGAGAAGTGGTATTCCACATGGTCTAACTACATTTTTGGATACCAAAGATGGTCAATGAATTGAAGCCTGCGTCACTTTGGCTCCAGAAGACATACCGTTGTTCAAAACTAACCCTGATTTGTTGGCTTTTGCTTCTTTGAATCCAACTTCTCTCTACACTGAATAACTCACCATTCGATCATATAATGAAGAGGATCACAATCCCACTACAAGTGTATCCGGTGGGATCTATCAGATTTGAATAAGTTGAGAATCTCAAAACCACATATAATAAATATATATATATATATATATTGAGCGTGTCCCTAGCATGTTGTGTCCCTCTTTTTTTGAAAATTTGCGTGTCAGCGTGTACTAAGCTTTTTGATACATCGATTAAGCTTTTGTGAAGCTTAGCTAGGTGTGGATTGGTTTTTTGAATCCGCGGTTCGATTTCGGATTGAAGAATTAAAAATCCGTAGTCCACGGATTGGTTCCGGATTGAACCCACGGTTCCAGATTGGAACCGATCCGGACCGTATACAAATAATCTATATTTTTATCATACATTTTCCCTCATAGTATCTTCTCTTATTTTATATAAAATCTAAACACAAACCTAAAACTGTATAATATCTTCATTTTTTTACTTTTGTTTGTTAGTTTTTAGTTTTAATTTGTAATGGTCTAAATACTTATGGTAAAAACAGTTTTCTTATGGTTGTTTAAATTCTAGAACAGTATGTCACTATTATAGAAAAATATGTTGCTATTGTGGAACTGATATAGCGCTATGTTTATATTTTTATGAAATTAAAGTATTATATATATATATATATATTTGTTATTTAATTATGCGAATCCGTGGTCCTAAACAGATCCAATTCGTATTTAAATGGATTGGTTCGGATTGGTTCTATGATTTAAACGGATTGGATTGGTTCCAATTTTTTAAGAACCGTAGATAACGGATTGGTCCTGATTTTACTCTAATCCGGACCATGCTCACCCTTACCCTGGAGGCTACTGATTTGTTCTGTTTTGGTTTTATGTCATTCTCTAATCTCTACTTGTACCTCATTTTTCAAGTTAATAATAATAAATGAAAGGAAAATGAGTGGGACCTCTTTTTGGAGGACCTACAACCTTCAAAGTGATCTACATCATTCATGATGTATGGGGCCCACATCATGAGTGGTGTGGATCACTTTGGGGGTTGTGGGGGTCTTCTAAAAAGGGGGTCTCTATCATTGTTGTAAATGAAATATTACCTCTATGTGTCTTGGGCTGTGTTGGATTGGAGAATTTGATGAGATAAATACATTACAAGAAATTGTACTTTTGACGACTAAATTTTTAGTTGCCAAAAGTCAAATTTTAGTCGCCAAAAAGATTTCCCGACTAAATAGTTTGGTCGCCGACTTGGTCGTGTAAAGATTGTCAGGGAAGCTATTGGCAACTAAAAAACATTTAATCGCTGAAAGTCCTAAATTAGAGACTAAAAAATTAGTTGCCAAAAGGCAAGGTATTGGTGATTAGGTTTTTTTAGTTGCCAAAAGTCGACAATTGACGACTAAAAATTTAGTTGCCCAAAGTTACCAATCAATGTGTCTTTTGTTTTAGCGACTAAAATATTTAGTCACTAAAAACTTAGCAATCCTTTTTTACTACTAATTTTTTAGTCGCTAAAATTATGGTGCTCATTTTTGGCTACGAATTTTTTAGTCACCAAAAACTTTTATTTTTTTTGGCTACTAACTATTTAGTCGCCAACAAGTTCCCTTCTTATTTTTTGGCTACTAAATGTTTAGTCGCCAAAAGCTCTCTTTATTAATTTTTTTTTTTTAAAATGCATAAATTGAATATTTTTCATTAATTTCTAAATTATATGCATTCCATTATCAATGCAACCTATAACCTGTACATATATAGAATAATACATCTATCAATTATCATCTAAATCTATTATCAATAATACTCATTTCATTATCAACTATCCAAAACCTTTAACTTGTAACATCATATTCCAAATATCATATAAATCCACACCAATCAAGTATAATCCATCTAAATTAAATATTCATACAAAAATACTGGATTCCAAAATAGAGGGTTGTAGAAAAATAAATGTCTTCTATAAACAGAACAAATGCTCTTCGTACACAAAAATAAATATCCACAATAGCCCACACAAAAGCAATTTGTAAAAAAAATTAAAAAAATTAACCATTAGAACTTATTCAATAAAATTGACATTTCAAATTATAACAATTATAAAAAGAAAACTGAATATAATCCATTTGTTAGAACGAGTTATTGGTAGTGGGATTTGAGAATTTTTCAGTAATTGATGTAGTTTCTTGTGTACTATTTGTTGTAGTATCAAATGTCTGTTCACTAGAAGATATTGGTGTGGGAACAAAAAAATTTGGATTACCAGCACTAGCAGGTTTGATGGATGGAATTGAAGGTGACTGGAATAAGTTTGTTTGATTCCCAGCCCCTTTGTTGAAAGTGTCAACATACTTGTCAAAACATTGCATGCAAAAATGTCAATAACTTTGATAATTAAAAGGAACCAAATTTTTATTTTTAAAAAACATACGAGGGCCACAGATTGAGAACCCTATAGAGTTGTGCAGCCTACTCTAACATCAATCCTACCCACCCAGAATGGAAGGAAACATATCCTAGGCATTTTTCTCCTCTCAACAAATACCCTTTAAACATGATGAAAATTTTATTGGGTTCACAATTTTGCCAAACTAACATGCATAATAAGAACCTTTCTGAAACAATCTACTTCTCAACAACCAAAAAACTACACAATCTACATTGCAACAACCAAAAAACTGTATAGTTCATAATTGGCCAAAGACTAAACTAACATATAAATCCTGGGCCAAGTCAAAAAAATGGCTGGTTTGATTTCAGAGTTTTGTGACCGGCCCCTAAGAATATAGTTGATAATTGGCCAAAAAGACAATAGTACCAAATCTTATTATAAATGACATAATCAAATTATCCATGCATGTCTTTGAATGGGATGTTTACTGTGTATCTAGAAGTTTTGAACATTGTAAGATAATAATAGGCAGCTAGCTACCAAAAAGGCCAACCACTTGTTGAAATCTATAGGCGAGAGAAATCACATGATGGTCAACATTGATTTATAAAAACTACTAGTTCTCTACAACTTTGAGAGGGTTTTCAAAGCTTACAAAACTAGATCAGAGGTGTAGGTGAGATAATAATTTAATTTTATGACCAACTAATACCACTAATTCACAACAGCAGAAGTATTTGAACTCGGGAGACTTGAACCAATGTATACACACTACAACAAAAAACATTTTTGGCGATGCTTTTTAGCAACCAAACAAAAATTTAGTTGCCAAAGATACATCATTGGCGACAGAATATTTATGGTCACTAAAACTAAACTTTTGGTGACGTAGTTAAAATTTTGGTCACTATTGAGTCTGGCCCCAAGTGATTTTTTTGTACGGGAATACTAAAAAAAATTTGGTGACCAAATTAATTTTTAGCAACAAAAATTTTAGTCGCCAATTATATTTATTTGGCAACAAGCATGACTTGGTCGCCGAAAATTTGAATAATATTTATGGCAACCAAATTAATTTGGTTGCCAATAAATTATTTGTCTTTACCCTAATTTTTTATTGCCAAAAATTGTTGACTGAGTGGATAAACAAACAATTGACCATCACTTCTCCTTCTCACTTTCTCACTCCATTTGAAACGGCATACACAAGTCCAGGTAATGTCTTTTTCTCTTCTTCCTCCCCCTCTTCCTCTTGCTCTGCTGCACCGCCGAATGTGAAAGGCACATGAGCGCTGGGTAATAGCAGCATTGCGCGGCGGTAAATTGCGACCCTCTTTTTGGGTTGATGCCCTCTTCTCTTCTCTATCTCTGATATGCTAAATGTAGTCCCTCTCCCTCTTGCTTTCTCACGCCGCCGGATGCCAATGGCATAACAGCCCTGGGCCGCAGATCACGACCTTCTCTTTGGGTCGATACCCTCTTCTCTTCTCTGGGCCAAATGATATTTTGAATGTATTTTCTTAAACCAATTTTTAAAGTTACAGAGGTGAAATAAACTAATTTTTATTTATTTTTGATATTTATTATATCTGTTGTGTGACCTAG